ACAGCTAAAATGGCCAAATAGTAACGAATGTATCATTGACATAAAACAGTTATTTACCTGGATTTTGGAGAAAAGTATGTCCAGTCAATGGGACACACAGACCATCACGACTAACTGTCGAATATGAAACGGCTTGATCGATTTTTACAAGCCATGTATCGCCAATTATTTGTTTATCTCCATATCCATATGTAACCGAACGTATGTAAGTTGCTGTATCTGTATGAGAATAAAAAAGGAATAGTCTTATGATTATTGAAATAAAAATAATCATTAATGAATAAACTCAATATATACCTGGTATACAAGTAAGTGGATGAATTGGCATTGTTGATTTGTAGCACTGTTTCGAATCTCGATCATATGTGTAAATCTTTCCATCACTCATACTTTCAATAATCCATAAATTTGATTTTTGTTGATCAAACGCAGAAAATGACACACCTTGCATTCCCACCATACCACGACTTACATCATATGAAAAATTATAAGTTCCCTATTTTTTTCATAGAGTAGATTTTAGATTACAGTATATTTTATAGGAATGACTTACATATGTAGCAACTATTTTACCATCTGGAAGAACCACACCACTTGATGTACTCATTACTGAACTGAACTGTTGTGGTACACAACAACGTTTTGGTTCGTCGGTCACTGACTTGATTGTTTTGCCATTGGAACCGATTGTAAAGAGAGCAACAATCATAAACACTGCGTAGCAGAGCATGTTTTTCTTCTTCTTTGCTTTGAATCGTTCGATATCAGTTAATAAATGAAAAACGCTTTCTTATTTATACAAGATTGAATGATAAGCAGAATAAATAGTAGTCATGGCTTTTCCTGTATTTTTCTTTTTTTCTTGCTTGATACCTCATCATGACATACTTATCGAAAACAGCTGGATCATATTCCCACTGAAATGTCCCAAACGACTCAAATATACGTAGAAAATGATAGTAGATTTATTTGCATCAGCATCACTAAGCATTTTTCACATATGTATATCAAAGACACACTTTTGTAACGACCATCGATATTAATCAAAGAACAACGTATATAGGTTCCATTTACGACAAGTGAACGCGCAGCCAAAACGACAATCAGAGGAGCCCTTAAAAATGGATATGGGTGTGGTTCAAGAAAAGACTCACACACATCAACACCCGCATCCTCAAGGTTTTTAGATAGTGTTTGTCAGTTTTGAGCATCAGATATTGTTTGCTAAGGCAGAATGATCTCAGAAATCGATAATCCATGGAAATAGGCATCAACTGAGATATAGTTCGGCTCCCGATCAATCAAAACATCGTGACAAAGAAGATTATGTAGATTTCTCGTTGATGTTTTCTCTCTTAGTGGTATTTGTCCAAGGTTTAGTCTCTCTAGTGGTTATATCTACAAATTCTTTATCGACCAGTATCGTTGACCAACGCTAACAAACAGCAGAGTGAAAAGAAGTAAGAATCCCTCTTGGCATTGTTTCCGTCTAGATGCACCCTCTATAGTACTTTTCCATTGATTCTGACAAAGCTATGAATTTCATCACACCTCACTCGTAGCAACGGATTATAGAGTTACTCTGGGCTTTGTATCAAGATGGACAATACCAAATTCACAGTAAAATAAATTACACCTAAAATTAAATCCCTCTACAGCGTTCTTAGGTATCGTCTTTCGTTATGGTTCTGAGTATTACTCAATCATTGTGCAACTCTTTTTATCTCTCAAGGACGACATGACGCACATTCATGTATATATATATATATATAACATAAAAGCTAGTCGACTCTTTCTATGCCTAGAACAAGAATGACATACAATACATTATTATTTCTAATATTCTTCTCTGTTCACCTTGATTTGATTGAATCTATTCGATGTGGAACAAAGTGTCCTTTCGTATTTTTATCATTCAATATTAGTATACAGGAAAAAGTATGTCCCGAGTTCGTTGAAAGAGCCAATGCACAGTGTTCACTCGTTCTGGAACTGAATTTCGAAAGGAATGGTGGTGGTGGCGTCCTAATGATCGTAGATCGCACCGAAGCTGACTCTTTGAGCATAGAAACAAAACTCGGAATCAATAGCAATGCGACCACTTCTATAATCAAATATACTTGCTCAATGTCGGACAATTGTGCTTGGGAATTTGTTAACAAATTATTTAGTCCTCTATTGGTGAATTTTGATGCACTAGGTGTTCGACAAAATTTAAGTGAACTACTCTACACTGACAAACCAGATCCAGCTGGAGTTCAATGTATAAATAGTCGATGCGATACCAGTAGTTATTGTCATAGTGGTTTGGAAGAATATTTGTCGCCACAATACACATTTTTTCACATCGACAGCTCTTTACCATGTGCAAATTCGTCAAAAACACAAGACATGATAATTATTGAGCGAACATACTCTTTTTTGTATACGATAAAAACAAATATGACCTTATTCTGTAACCAACCCAAATGTAACAACAACGAAACGCTGATGCTAGTCTACCAGCTCTTCAACAAAGAGTTCGATCTACCACTTAATTATTCCATTATGTACATAAATACATCATTTACAACGACTACACCCAGATCATTTGCTTCAAAGTCATACACTCCTCTATCATGCGAACTCATCATAAATGCTGCTATCTTTTCTGCTTTATATCTATTCAATAAAAAATGAGTGTGCATTGGCCAGATGCAGAATTAAATTCTGTCTCGAATGATATCCAATTTAATCATCG